ATGCACTGCGGGATCATCATGTGTCGTGGGAAAGTCGCCGTGGGTAGGACTCAACGGTCATGTCCTGGAACCGCAATCGAACATTTTGCTGCAAGAAACATGTTTGGGCCCCGGTGTAACTTCGAGTCGAAACTGCTCCCCACGTTGCTTGTGCAGAGGGGCTTGCCTGTGCTGGCAGGTCTACTGGTTCATACATTCACAGACATGATGACCTCGTGAACGAAACTCACGACCAGAGACGGAAACGAGCACGCTTACGACGGCGTGATGGGAATCAGAATCTCTCTCCGAAGCTATGGTTGCGCATGCCATTGCATTGGCAGCACTGAGCTGGGCCCATGACAACGGTGTACAAGTAGTCAAGCTTCGCTGTCTCGACTAAGCCGTCGAAGCAGCAGACTTAGCACGCTTAACCAAGAGCAGTGCCTGCGAAGCGCATGGCGGCTTGCCTGCAGACTACATGGAAGCAGAGGTGCCAGCCATCGCTCCGAGGTGCCTAGTGGGCGTGGCGGAAGCTGGAGTCCCCTCACACTGCAATTGTCAAGCCCATGACCCAATGCCGCGCATTTCAGAGGGGCTCGCCAGCTGCGTCGGTAGTTGGGAAGCCATTAATTAGTGTGATTTAGTTGCCATGGATAGCGTTCCTCTCGTGCGTTTTGCGGCGTCGCTGAGAAAACACAGCTCGCCAACGACTTCAGACAACAGTTTGGGCGACTTGGTGCTGCGCAGGGTTCCAGGTTGGCAGATGCTCACAGGTGACTAGAACTTGGTGCTGCATCTGTACAGAAGCTGTCTGACAGCACGGGCTATGCCAGTAATTGAAGCACCTAGCCTGCCATGTAGTAAGCTTATCGGACATAGAAGCGGTTCAGCTGCGCAGAGGGCCTTTGAAGCTGAGGCCACACCACTTTTGTGATGTACACCGTACCGGCCGATGCTTTCTTGAAGATGACAGAAGTTAAGATGCACGAGGAGCTGGCCGACGCAGGTGTGCTCACAGAGTTCGATGAGAGCATGGGAAAGGCAATGTTCGTGTCGCACCAGTGGCTGAGCGAGGCACACCCTGATCCAGACTTTCAGCAGCTGAAAGTCTTGCAAGATGCCCTCAAGAACATTGTTGCTGGAACCAGCAAAATAGATCTACCCATTCTTACAGAAATCCTGAATGGTCGCAGAAGATGCCCTACTGCCGACGACTTTGCATCAGGCCATCTTCACGTTTGGTACGATTTCTTCAGCATCCCGCAGGCCAGCGGTCACCGCGCATCTCACAACCGCCAGAGCGCCATCCAGAGCATCCCGGCCTATGTGGCGAGATGCGAGTTCTTCGTCGTTCTGTGCCCGGCTTTCAAGCACAGAGACCAGCAGCGAACTCTGAGCCATTCAACCTGGGGCGAAAGGGGGCAGCCTGGTTGCAATGGTGCCCTGTTCCTTTGACGATAAGTTGTTAACACCACGCTTCCGGTTCAGGTGGTGTCCTGTTCCTTTGACGATAAAAGTCCAACATGGCATAGGTCTGGCGGGTTCCATATCCCACAGTCCCAGGTGGTGTCGCACAGAGAGAGTTGCACGTGAACTCTCGACTCGAAAGGGTGGCTA